TGAGCGAAAAACATTTATGTAAACCCAGTAAAATTCTGTCCATAAGTTGAATACAACAAAATTAAACGTCTCTTTCTCTCTGTTAGGACTCCCCTGCACTGCGCTGCTTCTTGTAATAACGTGCAAGTATGTAAGTTCCTGGTGGAATCAGGAGCTGCTGTATACGCCACAACCTACAGCGATATGCAGACAGCGGCAGACAAGTGCGAGGAGATGGAAGAAGGTTATGCCCAATGCTCACAGTTTCTCTATGGTGAGAAACCTGTTCTCTCATTATGAAACTTTACGAAAGAGGACTTCTTGTAGCTCAACTGGTAATTTATCGCAATAAATCTGTAGCGTTGAGGTGTTTTTTTCACAGGTGTGCAGGAGAAGATGGGCATCATGAACAGGGGCATTGTTTATGCCCTGTGGGACTATGATGCTGAGAGTCCGGACGAGTTGTCCTTTAAGGAAGGAGACTGCCTGACCATCCTACGAAGAGAGGACCGTGAAGAAACAGAGTGGTGGTGGGCGAGATGTGCTGACAATGAGGGCTATATACCTCGCAACCTCCTCGGGGTGAGGAAATACATTTTTTTTAAGCTTTCTCCTCGTCATTTAATCTTGGACATCCTTTTTTTTACTACAGATTGCTCATATTTGTTTTTCTTCTGTAGTTATACCCCAGAATCAAGCCCAGACAGAGGAGCCTTGCATAAACTCTCCAAATCAGCGCTTATGTGCCTGGAGTTTTGTCTATCATTTCAACAGTCACTTAGTTCTGCAGAGCAAAAGGACATTTTGAAGATGAACGCATTACATTTACATGGTGAAGAAAATAAGAATAGTTTCATGTTGGTATGTTATACATGTTTTTAAGGTTAAAAGCTTTGGTAGAAAAGGTAGACATAGATGCATATTTCAGAAGCAGTTTCAAGCATGTATAGTAAAGTGAAAGAGGAATGAAGAATTTATGAATGGTACAGATGCATTAATAGTCATCTGAGTATTATATCTCATATGAAGGATGTCAGATTTAGTAGTGTAATTTTTCATCTTTTTGAACAAAGTTTCTGTATTCACAAATGCTGATTTGTTTCACAAAGTGCAAAACAAAAAGCATTCATCTTTTGAAGGAAAATAAAGAGTTTTATATAATTTTTTTTTCCTGTTTATTTTATTCATAATGCCATGTTATGTAAACCTATTCTTATGGTGCTTGCTGCTATGCTACAACAGTGTGTTCTGTGAACAATTAACAATTTATTGCGCAAAGACAGCTTTCATTTATCATAATAAAACTTGTCAAAACTCTTG